TCTTTGTCTCTCTCTCTATGTACATTAAGGTGGTGTCCACACAGAACGCCCTGCACTTTTTCAGCAAAGACGAGCTGGATGTGCCTGTCTTGACGGACAAAGACGAATGGGAGGTGAGTGTTGTTGCTATAATTAGATTAGAACACGATGACGCGATGCATGGGACACAAAATTAGGTGTAGTAGGAGTTTTGTTTGTTTTAGTAGAGGTTTTACAGCGCTCGCAACTGCATAAGGTCATATGAGCGCCAAGGGCTGGATGTTGATAGAGAAGTCCTTTCGGGAAATCAATCTTACTTTGGTCATCTCTCTAGCTTCAACAGCACAAAGTCTGCTTCAACTATCAAGGCACCCCAGATATAGAAGTTCACAAGAGAGTGACAAACATACAAAAGAAGTAGAGGAAAAATGACAATAGTAAGGATGAGGAAAGAAAAAGCAGCAGTTCCTTGTTGCATTTCAGACACAGTTATGAGCTTGACATTGATGAATCGGCCCATTTACAATTACAATTCTACTGTGCATAAGAACATGGTTAATGTCCCCCCTCTGGGAATGGCCTAAAGACAACTTCAGTCAGTAACCCCGCCCCGAGGGGTAGTGTGGCAAGACTGGGAGGGGCTTAATGAGTGACGCAAAGTTGACACTTGTCACTGGGGACATAGAGAGAGTCTGCCGGACTTTGCCAATGTTAAGATGATTTCTTCCATTCCAGCAAAATTATAAAGTTTTCATGGCTACTGCATTTTCTCTAAAGAAAATTTTGTTTTATACATTAATTACAGCTTGGCATATGCTGATACTTAACAGTGAAGAATGGGGGTGAGGTAAAGAAATGTTCCACGAAATCCTTTGTATAGAGTGAGAGAAACTGATGAGCTGCTAGTTTTGTATGTGAGTCTTTGCCTGTGTTGTTTTTGGCTGTTCAAGTCAGTCCTAATCTAACTGTCTGAGGTGACCAGTGGAGGTTTACAGTACTGTGGACACTGTCTGAGGTGACCAGTGGAGGTTTACAGTACTGTCTGAGGTGACCAGTGGAGGTTTACAGTACTGTCTGAGGTGACCAGTGGAGGTTTACAG